TCGACCGGAAGTGTCTTTTTTGAAATCCAAGCATTAAAATGTTCCATTCTTGCCATCTTTCATTTCCTTCTTGTTTTTCCTGTCTGTTCTCTGATAGTTGAGGAGAAGGAGGAGGATGGTCCTCAAAGGAGGCCAGAAGCTGCATTCCTTCAGCCCAGTTGAAGATCACGTAGATGCTGCAACATTTGTGGCCGGTAGGGGCTGCTGTTGCTCTTGGATGGTTCTCCCAAAAATGACTTCAGCCAAAAGATGGGCAGATGTGGCTCCTGAAAAGTTTAATCTCTTCTTCTAGAGTAAGGGAGGGAGGACAGCGCTGAGCCTTCACGCAGCAGGTGAAATAAGGAGGGATAGAAATAAAAGGTTCAGGTCCACCAGCTCTGCTCCCAGTGGCTTTTAAAAACTTTGAAAATTGCTTATGATCACTTTTAGCACACCGGTCCAATTGGAGGATGGTTCTCCATACATATGGCTTCTAGGTTTTTATATACTGCTCAAAAAAAATAAAGGGAACATTTTACCATGGAACTGAAAGGGTTTGCGTTCCCTTTATTTTTGTGAGCAGTATATATATATTAGGCCTCAGATTCTGTAGTAATTGCACATTAGCCCTTACATGCTATGCAGATAAATAGAATTTGATAATTACATTTACACATAAGCATTTCCATGTCCCATTCATGTAAAACATGGGGTGCCTGAAGAAACATCAAAGGTTCCCTGATTCACAATAATGTGGTCTGGTGTAATTGGGAGCTTTTAAGTCTCCCCCATTTTTAGATCTCCATGCAAATCTGTCCTTTGGTTGTTGGCTAAATTAGAAGACCCCAGAATGCTTTGGGGGAATAAAATATTCCACCGGAACCAATGGGTGCAGATCTCATTTGCATGAAGTGGCCAAGCAGAGGCATTTAAGGAAAGGAAAGAAGAAGAAGAGGGTTGTAATTTTCTTCCTTAGAAGGACATTCCTTGCCAAAGTTGACCATGGGTTGGGCGGTGGTCTTCCTTGCGCTCCTCACTTACTGCACAGGTAAAGCTTTCCTGGGTTGAGAGAGGATTTGATTGTGATT